GATCATGACCTGAGCGGAAGGCAGACACCTAACGACTGAGCCACCCAGGCGCCCCTGGAAACATTTTTAAAAATGCAGATTTAGAGGACATTTATTTTTGTGTAATAAATGCTCTTGTTTAAGCTCTACGAAGCACATTGAAAAGTGTTCTTGGCTATGGGGAGTTAGAGAGAAGAAGGCAAGGGTGTCCCTCTTTCTGTCACTGTTTGCTTTGTTGGTAGAACCCCTGTTGACTCTATAAGAAATCACGTCCTCTTAGAACTTGCTTTGAATTGATGTTTCAGTTCATTACAAAAAGTGAGCACTCTCACAAATATTTATTTACCAGAAAGGTTTTACCTTTAACACCAGCAAGTTGCAAAACCACCCCAATACATCCCGTGAAAGCACTGCTTGATTCGGTCTCTATTAATTCATACTAAGTAAGTGATTAGGTTTTGGCATTTCCCGGGAATGAATTTGCTTTCTTTAGTCCCTAATTTGATCATGACAATTTTATAAAATCATTATAGAGAATTACAAAATACCTATTACATTGTTCATTTCACCACATGTCGTGGCTGGCAGAGGCTCAGGTAATTTAGATGCTTGTAATCTTCTAAATGCTATTACACTCTTAAACTGTACCCTAGGGTCCAAATCCACATTAACTGACAAAAAATTATAGATAATTTTATTCGAGGCAACACAAAAGGGCAGGACTGTGGCAGGCATAATAAAACATCCCTTAAATAAAGAGATCTGCGATCCCCCGAGCACGGGCTTAAATAAGCCAACTACCACTAGTTAAAGACCACTTTCACCACCGGTAGTCTGTCCGCCATTAGTGAGAGGCTAGTTCAGGAAACACTGTCCGACTGTCTAGCTAGAAGACCTCACTCGTGCTTTAAAGGAAGGAGCTCATTGAGTTCTTGGGAAATGCGTGCCTGCACGCTCACTCACGTGGTCTTTCTCTGTGAGTTAAGAAACAGATCTCTATTGGGGCGCCTGGGTGGCTCAGTTGGTTAAGCGACTGCCTTCGGCTCGGGTCATGATCCTGGAGTCCCGGGATCGAGTCCCACATCGGGCTCCCTGCTCAGCAGGGAGTCTGCTTCCTCCTCTGACCCTCCCGCCTCTCATGCTCTCTCTCTCTATCTCATTCTCTCTCTCAAATAAATAAAGAAACAGATCTCTATCAATAATGCCTGAGGTGACGTTGCTCCATTCATACGCCTTTAAAATTTTGAGGATTAGCTCACTTCACGACCTGCCCCGAATCGCCAAAGGTGACATGATGCCGGAGAGTGTTTTGGGACCGTCCCCTGAGTAAGGAGAAATGAGGAATACCCGTACTACTCTTTTCAGGAATGGAGCAGTGATTCTCCACCTGGGCTGCATTTTCGAATTACCCGGGGAGGCTGTATCCCCAGGTATATCCCATGGCTGTATGCTATGCCTGGGATACGCCTCAGACCAACTCCATCAAATCTCCGGGGGGAGAGCCAGTCCTCACTGGTATCTAATTCCCCAGGTGATTCCAGTGAGCGTCAAGGCCTTGAGAAGGGCTTGAGGACTGTAATAGCTTTTTTTTTTTTCTAAATTTTTATTGTTATGTTAATCACCATACATTACATCATTAGTTTTTGATGTAGTGTTCCATGATTCATTGTTTGTGCATAACACCCAGTGCT